GGCCCAGGCTGGATTCGAACCCGCCACCTTAGGTATATGTGGCTGGCGCCTTAGCCACTTGAGCCACAGGCGCCGATACTTTATCATAACTAAAAATTTTAGAAAGCATGTAGATCTCAGTGACTGGGAAAATGATAGTGTTATTAATTCACCTAAGAACCTCAGTGGAAAGATGAAGAAAATGAACTTGGTTTCAGACAGTTTGAATGTAGGGTGAGCCATCTGAACGAAAAGGTATTTGGACGGTGGTAGCCTATGGGCTTGATACTCAGGTGTGCAGAGGATAGATGTCTATGGTCTGCACGTTGACCTTGACCTGAATAGTGGTGAATTTTTACCAACTACTTTTCCTTACTTATTCAGATGGTTATATGACTTTTGTCCTAAAATCAGTAAATGTTATATTAATAGATTTTGAATGTGGATGCAACTTGGCATTCTAAGGGTAAATTACATTTTAAAATATACTTCTGAGTGTTATTTGATGCCATTTTATTTAAGATCTTTGTGTTTTATTCACAGATGAGCTTAGTCTATAAATTTTCTTCTTTTTTTCTTACATATACATGTGTTTATTAGGTTTACACTTTTGCCTTCACAGATGCAAAAAGACTTAGAATTTAATAACAGTAACAATGTTTAACATAAGGACTGAAAACAAAAACCTCATTAAGCACCAATGAAGATAAATATATTCAGAAAAAAAATCAAATGATTGCTGCATTGAAATATTAAGCAATAATAATAATGCAAAGAAAGTAACATTCACATTGTCAGACAGGAGTATGTCTTTTATAGAATGCTTTGACTCTGCGGTTCAGTACAGAGTCATCAGTTAACTTCTTATTTTGTTTTTTCCAAAGTGTCAAAAAATAGACAACTAACATTTATAAATAAAAGTAAAAGATAATTTCAAAAAGAATAGATCATGCCAAATCTTTTTTTTGCTATTTTTGGCCAGGGCTGGGTTTGAACCCACCACCTCAGCATATGGGATGGGTGCTCTCCCCTTTTGAGCCACAGGCGCCGCCCTGAACATACCAAATCTTACAGACAATAGAAAAAGAAGAAATACTTCAAAATCATTCTACTTAATCTGGATACACCTGATATTAAAATTGGAGAAAATATATTATTATAAAGGGGAAATTATAAACTTATTTCACTTATAAATAAGGATGCTATAAGATAAACAACACATTAACATGTTGAATTAAAAATTAATGTTTAAGTAATACACTTTGGTCAGCATTAAATCCAATTTATGTGAAAATTAGTCACTATTTTCTTTCCTTTTTTTTTTTCCTTGCCAATACCTCTTCCCTCCTTCTCTGTCTGGTCTCCCCTTACCCCTTGCCCCACTGTGTCATTAATTGTCATTAACTGTCTTCATATCAAAGTTGAATACATAGGATTCTTACTTCTCCATTCCTGTGATGCTTCACTAAGAATAATGTGTTTCACATTTTTGGAGATAGAGTCTCACTCAGTTGCCCTGAGGTTGAGTGCTGTGGTGTCATAGCTCACAG